GTAGGTATCCGAGAACGGCCTCGGTAGGCAGTGCGGGGAGGCTACCGGCATCGGAGGCAGGCTGGGGGGGGGACCGGGAAGCTTGAAGCCTCTCCGCGCCGCCTACCTCGGCCGTTCTCGGACTTCCAGAATGTCCGTGTGTGCCCAATAGAAACAAGGCAGCCAGCCAGGCACGGAAGAAAACACTCCATGGCAATCTTATGTAATTTTCACTCATTGAGAAATGTATCTCTGCTTGCATCAAGCCTGGCCAATGCCTGCCCCCAAGAGCCATATACCCCACTGTGATTGGTAGGTTTGTTCAGCTCCACACACAACACTGTAAAGTGCCAATATCAAACTCGCAGGCCACACTAACGCGGGGGCCACAAGCTATCGTCTCGAGGGCCGCAATTGGCTTATGGGCTGCAAGTTTGAGACCCCTGGCATACATCATTAAAAGACAATATTTAAAGCTGAAAACCATTGAGTATACAACAGTAGTTTACATCATTAAAATATAATATTTAAAGCTAAGAGCAATGAGTATATAGAGGCAGCTTACATCATTAAAAGACAATATTAAAGCTAAAACAAGTATACAAATATTAAAAAGAAACAAACAAATACAACTTTGAGAGATGGTAAACTTTACAAGTACTAGTACTAAAACATAACTAGTACTAAAAACCCAATCAAAGCAGTAATGCATAACAATCCATCTAAAATTCATACTCATGTAACTTGCTTGCTAGTGGAAAAGCTTGCTGAGGAAAAGCTTGCCTGAAGACAAAGGTCTTTGCCTGCTTGTGGAAGAACAGCAAGGATGGCATCAGTCTGGCCTCCTGTGGGAGGGAGTTCCAAAGTCTGGAAGCAGCAGAGAAAGCCCTCTCCTGTGTCCCCATCAGACACACCCATGAAGCTGGTGGGATCGAGAAAGGCCTCTCCTGATGATCAACACCCGAGCTGGCTCAAGATGAGAGAGATGGCCTTTGAAATAGCCTGGGCCCAGGCCATTAAGGGCTTTATAGGTTAAAACCAGCACTCTGAACTGTGCCCGGAAACTGACTGGCAGCCAATGGCACTGCTGTAACAGGGGGGTTATGTTATCCCTGTAACTCGCCCCAGTCAGAAATGTGGCTGCTGCATTTTGAACCCACTGAAGTTTCGTGCTACTTTCCATAGGCAGCCCCACACAGAGTGCATTACAGTAATCCAGCTGGAAAGTACGTATTTTTTGCTCCATAAGACGCACCTTTCCATAAGATGCACCAATTTTTTAGGAGAAGAAAACAGGGAAATATAATCTGTTTTTTTCGCTCCATACGACGCACAGACTTTCCACCCCGTTTTGTGGGGAAAAAGTGCGTCTTATGGTGCGAAAAATATGGTACGTAGGACATGTGTCACAGTGGCCAGATTAGATCTCTCCACTGTCACAGAAAATATGTGTGTTAAGTTCAACTAGTCACAATACATTCATTGCCATATGGTCTCCTTTTATTAATTACACAAATAACAAGGCATCATATTCTCCCCCTGTAGCATATGCCACCTTATGAAACAATGTATATCACATAGCATGTTGCCTTTATAACAATATTATGTGACTAGTCATAGGTATGTTTTTTAGATATTTTAATGAATTTTGTAATATTCTCAACATTTGCTGTGAATAAAGATATTAAAAATAATAAAGTTTTATATACATAGCATGATTAATATTTGTTTATCACTTTAACTACAGCATTTGCTATCCTTTTTAAAACTATTAATATTTTTCTGTTTGAGTAATATTCCATTCCATAAAGCAATAGAATCGGAAAACAAAGAAACTGTGTAAAAATACATTATCACTCTGCAATATTCATGTTGTTAGTATGAACATCTTTGTCTTACCTTATCAGAAAGTTCAATCCCATCATTTTGCTTTTCATATCTGACTAACCAATTGTCATTGCCTCTGTCTTTAAAGAAATTAGGTGGAAGTATGGTTAGTGAAACATCTCATCATATCTTTGGAATAACTCATTCTGAGTAATTTTTCAGAAGCATATGAAGTAGATGCATTATATAAATAAAACTATTAAAACTACAAAATAGTTTTTTTCATAAATCATTATTCATTAGATCATGTATGTTTCATATTTTTTGAGCTGCACTGAGTTTTCATGTTTCCCCACCTTTGCTCTTAGCTTGTCTTCTTTGTGACAAAGCATATCTTCACAGTAATATTTTGGGCCCCATTTTCAGACTGGGTAAAAATTACCTGGTTTACATGTTCACTTTCTATAATGGAAAATGCACTTTAGAACCTCTTCTGCTCATTGGAGGTTTGAGGAAGGGAGGGAAATAGCTTCAGTCATCAGAACAGCTGGAAACAGTATCAAAGTTCGGTTTATCTTTGCTAATCCTATATTCTGTTATTAAAGTAAAGCAGCAGGTAACATTACTGTCATTCCAGCAGTGTGCTATTTGTGGCATTTCACTTTTTCAATCCCTGAAGGATCACCAGCTCAGACACTAGCAGGACCCTGATCATGATATACTTCCACACATTATGCATGACACAGTAGTCTGCACTGGGATCAGTCAATACTCCATGTTCCTCCTCAAAAGTATTACAAAGATTGTGAAGTTAAAAAATTGTCTACATCTTTACCTATAAGCAGCTACCTTATATAATCTCAACCAAAACACATATTGTCTAATCTAGTACTCAAGAGATGTGAGTAAATTAATTTTCTGGACTGCAGCTGCCAGGACACCCCAGCTGGCATAGTAACTAGCCATGTCATCTCGGATATTATGGGAGTTGTAGTCCAAAAACTTCTCTCACTTCTGGTGGTACCATGAAACACTGAGCAACAGCAATCCCTGATGAACGATAGCACGGATGCCAAAATTGCAGGGTTTTTCCCTAACTGCAGCATTAGCAGATACGAACAATTCCCCCCCCTCCCCAAAAAAACAGACATTCACATAATAAGCCATTTTCTTAACACCATTTGCATACATTTATATTATGAATGGATTTATCCAGCATGCTGAATTTTATCTACAGCAGAAACATAATAGTAAGTCACAACTAGAGTAGGGCTGCTGACTCAATGAAACTTCTAGAGGAGTTGACTTACAAAATTCCCATTAATTCACTGAGCCTACTCTAGTTGTGACTTACTACTGGCTTTCAGCCACTATGAAACATGCACTAAAAGAATATTGCTATCATAGAATGATCTAGTACCAGTGACAAAAAAATTAATTACCAGTGTTTCTGATGACATAATCAAGCACAACCAATTTTTCAAACTCTGACTGAAATTGCTTCCTTGTATTCTCTGGCAAAGGGTCTGTTTCAAATTTCCTGAGCCAATAGTCAGCCTCTTTGTAGCCTTCAACAAACAGCTGGAATGAGCCTACCTGCAAATGAAAATAAATCCTGCATTTACATAAGAAACAGAATTTTAAGAGCACCTCGCATCCAAGTAGTGTTCTGCACTAAATTTTCATCTATCCAAATTTACAAACAGTATTCAATGATTTAATAATGGGAAACTGAATAAATTGCAACACTTCAAATTGATTTTTATGAATGATGTTTTGCTAGAAACCAAGGCTAAGATTATCCATACTACTGTAATCCCCTATAGCTGTAGAAACTAGACAATGAAGAAGGTTGGTAGGGAAAAACAGATTTATTCAAAAGATGATACTGGACTTAGTAGAAAAGAAAGAATAGGAGGAGTGAGATACAGAAATAAAAGATGATCTATGTGATGGAGTTAGTTAAAGAGCTGAAGCAGTTCCTCCATTTTGGCAGGAAATTAACCACTGAGCCTCTTTTTGAATGTCAACAAATTTGTTTGATTTAGTACAGTACTAGGTGAATCTGTAACAACTTTTACAGGCTCAAAACAACCAATGTCAGATAATTGTCCATATTGTGAGGATGACAACTCTGTCCCAAAACCAACAGGATCCACTGAGGGGCTGGCCCGAAATGCTCTTGATCGGTGGGTTTCCTCATCGGCATGCTCCGTACCGTGCAAATTGTGCCACAGCAAGGGTGTCTGGCCCAGTCTCCCTCCAGTGGTGGGTGGCTGAAGGAAGAGTCCGGCCAGATCACCTTCTTTCAGGGACCTTGTCCCCGCAGATAGACCACAACGTCCATTCTAAAGACTCTACAGATGTCCCTTTTCCCTTAGGTGCATCCAGATCAGGTAATAATCCTCCCACTTTTAGGTTAGGAAAGTCTTCTAGCAACTCCTTCGTTCTGTCATATTCCAATTCTGTTTCCTTCGCTTTTTCTTTCCTTCTTTTTACTTTCCTGTTGCCAGTACACTGAACTATCTCCTCCCACTTGGTTCCCCTATATCCTCTTCCCATTCAGGCAAAATTAGCTCCTCCTCTCCTTTTCTCTCTCCCTCTTCAACCAGACATATCTCAATCTGTTCCCCTTTTTCATTTGATTCCATTCCCTTCTCTTTGTCTACAGTCAGTTCTTCATTCTCCATTACCCCCTTTGTTCTCATAGCTCTCTTCTGCTCGGGCGTCTCTAGTTTGAGCGGATGGCTCACTCTGCTTTTTCTTCTTTTCCTCCATAGTTCCTTCACAATCTGCAAGATGGGTTAGTTCAATAAATGGAGCCAGAATCTTAAGTCTGCATGACCTGAGAAGAACTGTTAATAACAGGACCTCTTTGAGGTAACTCATAAGGTCACCATCTGTAGGAAGTAACTTGAAACATGCAACAATGGACAGTGGTCAGCATGCTATTCATTTGAGCATAACCTAATGTTACACTGGTATAAATGTGCCAAGTGTCATGCCTGGCAACAAGGAGTTGCACTCTCTAACAATGCAATCAGATGCATACTCCTGGTACAACAGATTGGGCAGTGCACTGGCAGAAGTGCTTTGGGGATAGCACTTCTGCTTCAGTGCTTGCTCAGCTACCATAGGCAGAACTTCAAGTTGCACATGCATAGTTGTGTAATAGGATTTGGGACATTATGCACGTCCCATAGGGCTCCTAGGCACACCAAAAGGATAATGTTCCCTATAGATATTATGAGAACAAAACATTCAAATATTTTCAAAAAACGTACCTTAGGAGGTAGTCCTATGCGATGAAATTTTTTGCCAACTTTTGGCACTTTTTCTAAAGCATATTTTTTGCCTCTTGATTTTGCACGATCTATTGCACTGTAGTTAAAAGTCTCACTAACAATCCAGACAACCTTTAAACATGTAAGACAAAATGTATTAGCATTTGGCTTTGGAGATTCCAGTTATTACGGTGATATCTTTATAAAAGTCCTTAAGAATTTTGAAACATAAAATCAACAGTCAGAGAGAATATTCCATCTTTTTGTGCAATAACCATAAATGGCCATTAGCAATATTCTATAGACACTCAGTTCTTTGAACCAGCTCTTAAACTAACTGAACCAATGGCTCTGCATCAATTAAAAACATGTTGACTCATTTAATGGTGGCTTTGTATGCTGGACACGTCATGCTTCCTTAGAGGATCCGATGTGTACCTGTAGTCTGAAGATCCTAATGAACCTATCAATTTCATGAAACAATAAAAGAAGAAAAAGAAAAACTGCCATGGTCCCTCCTGGGTGTGGTAGTCTCGCTGCTCCCTATACAAGGTGCTTAGTGAATATCATTCTCATAAACCACTGCAGCAACTTCTTTTTCAATATTATCAAAAGGAAGCAATGCTGGAGTTAGGCCATTCAGTATAGGAGCTACAATCTGGTCCAGTTGAGTGAAATGAAGTTGAGTGAAATGGAGGTATCTGTAGGTCTGGTTTTGTGGGCTGCAAGTCCCAGAATTGTGCCTGGGAAATTCTTGGAGAATTTTGGGAGTTGGCACCAGAAAGAAAAAGAACAAATGGCACATCCCTACCAAGTATGGCTGTTTCCTAAGAATTGATGATCACAGTACTGTGATAGGTATTTCAGTACTGTCTCGGCTGAAATAGCTGACTAGCTAGCTCAGTGCTTTAGGTATCTGGTTACAGAGCCAGAGTTTGGGAAATCAATTCCCCACTGAGCAACCCAGAACCAACCTATGTAGCCTAGGGCAAGCTGCAGAGTCTCAGGATGCCCTCAGAAGAAAGGAATGGTAAACCACCCTGGAGTACTGTGTACCTAGAAAATCTTTAAAATGTCATTTTAAGTCAGAATTTACTTAATGGCACATTGTTTTAATTGAGCTGCTTCTGAAGACTCTCCAGCTGTGTAAGTTAGCTCAAACAGAAGATGCACTTTTAATTACAAGAATGAGATGAAGGCAACATATAGTGATGTCAAAACAGCTACACTGATAGGTTCCTTATTTGTTTACAGACACAGTCCAAATGGCTGATACTTTAGAATATTCTAGCTGTCTAACCAGTCTTCCTTCCTAAAATTGAGATCTTCAAGCTGCCCTACATCAAATCCCCTCATGAAGATAGATAAAATCTGCAAAGACAAGAAACAACACTCTCTTAGACATGGTCTCTTCATTTTGAAATTTTCTTCCCAAGGAACCTCAATAGGCTAGCTCTGTCCTTACAGTCTGAAAAGATGGAAAAACATTATTTCATCATTTGTTCGAGCAGTAAAATAGACTGCTCAGAAGAGTGATTTTTATATTGCTGGATGTCATTTTCAGTGGGTTGAAAATACTGATTTAACTGTAAACAGAAAATGTAAGCCGTGTGATCCACCCACAGAACCTGAACTCTGGGCTAAGTAGTTCTTTAGTATTGTATCAATAAAGAAGTTATAAAAAGGTGAGTTTTCAAGTTCTTCAGAACTCTTTATTAGGGAAAATAGTATGTGAGGAACAAAGACCTATTAATAGGGTTTGGAACAGCAAAACAGCAAAACAGCAGTCTGCACAAAAATCAAATAGATCTAAGTTAGACATCACAGTACAGTAGGTTAACAATCCCATAACTTTCCATTCTGGGAGCGACAGACAGACAGGCCATAGATAACTAAATGTGGCTTACCTGGGAGAAAGGCCTCAGCTGAAAGGCTCTGAGACTTTGCTAGACCTGGCTTTGTCCAAACTTCCTGTTCCTGTCCCAGTATCCTGTTTCCCCAAAAATAAGCCCTACCCCAAAAATAAGCCCCAGTGAAGTGAAAACCCACCCTTCACCATTGCCCAGCGTTGTGCAGCAACCAGAAGAAGATGACATGACTGTTTTTGAATAAATGTATGTTGTTGTACATGAAAAAAAAAAAACATCCCCTGAAAATAAGCCCTAATGCGTTTTTGGAGCAAAATTTAATATAAGACCCTGTCTTATTTTCGGGGAAACACAGTACTAGCTGGGAACTTTCTTTTTGAACAGGAGGCTTGGATAGCAATTGAGGCCTTTTCTGAAGTAAGCCACATTTAGGTGTCTTGTCTGTCAGGAAGAAATCTGACAATAAAAAAAAGAGATTTGTAGTCCAAGATATCAGAAAATGCCATCAATGGACATATCTACAAAGATCCAAAATGAGCATTTGTCTGCAGAAATTCATAAGAGAGACTTCACTGAAGTGTGATGAAGCACAATAAAAACCTGAAATACTGGAAATGGAAAGCTGTAACTTCTATTTTTGAAGTTAATATCAAGAATTCGAGATAAAATGTAACATCTTATTTCTGCAGCACTGAATCTTGCTGCAAAACATTCTTACCTTTGTTTTAGGTACCACTCCTAACCCCAATTTACTGTCCACAAGATAGGCACCAGTTTCAGAGAGGTATCCTTGATTAGGAACGAGACAGCCTCTGCCAAAGCAGCAAGGGCAACAAATTTTGTGAAAATATTTGGTCCACTTTGGATTTAGGTGGCCGTAAGGCTCCTCCGATTTTGGTTTAAACACTCCTATAGTGTTCTAAAGAGAGCAAAGAAAAGAATTAGTAAGTTGTCAAAAATCCATTTAAATTCAATTATTAATATGTCTTCATTCTGAAATGAGTTTAAGAAATGTATGCAAATTTGGCATTTCATAATCTGTAGGACACTTCTGTTCCAATAGTTAACAAATTACCACCTTCAACATGACAGGCTGTTGTTATTCAGTTTAGCTACAGCTTTCAGCCACTATATAATGCCCACTAGAGAGTGGTCCAAACCACCGGTTTGGTGGTTTGGCCAAGATTGTTTACTGTCACAAAAGGTGTTTGGTGGTTCAGCACCCCACCACCTTCAATAGGCACCCACTCAGAAACAGCATCCTAACTTCCTTGCCCTTCCTCCTCTGGGTACTGTTTCTGAGTGGGCGCCCACCAGAGGGGACAGGATGCTAAACTACCAAACACCTATTATGGTGGTAATCAAACTGGGACACACCACCAGTCCGTACCATCTCTAATACCCAGCAAAGCTAACTTACTGCTATCACACTGTGTGATTAAATAATACAACATGACAAAAAAAAAACTAGGTCACCGCTCTATTCAGTCATGCTTTAAAACATGTGGCGCACACATGAATTATGGCCCCATCACTTCCATTGTCTCTTTAATAACGGAACAGAAAATGCTACTATTTAACGAGGGGCAGGCCTCAGTATTCAGACTTCAAACTTAGGTAGACAAGCTAACTGGGCAGCCTGCCCCACACCTTACTTCAAACACTTGTACTTCTGTGAATAAGTAGATGACTGAGACAGGGCTAGCCCACTCTTCTCAATGCATATGGATGTGGCTCCACACACTTTAAACCAAAACTGAATAGATACTTTTGTCAATTGTATGTGCTGAGACTTCTATTAGGTAGCTAAAAGGCTACTTTATAATTGCACTCTTCTATAGGATTAATTTTGTATTGTTTATTTCTCTAGAGAAAAAGAACCAAGAAGTGTGAATTAGAGCTCGCCGAAAGATGAGAACTCTACGGTGGCAAAGAGGAACTGAGGCAATCGGCAGGATGGGCAGACCATGTGTGTTGGGGGGGCGGTCCTGGCGAATGCACTTTTGAGCTCTAGAATATTCCAGACGCAGATTAAACCCATTATTGTGCATTCACAGAGACCACGAAGCAGCAGCAGCACAAACTCTTTTGCCACAAGATCAAAATATAAAAACTCAAGATTCAGAACAAGATGAAGTATCAACATAAAATTGGTTCAAAAATCTGCAGGTTAGCTCTTTAAAAAAGGTATATATTCCTCTTATGCATGCATATTCTTAGCTTGCTTTATGCTCAGGTAGACACACAGAAGCATTTTCCCTATTTCCGTTTACTTCCTACAAGTTATAAGGAAACTGTGCCTTAATGACAGGAATTGAGTAATACAGTGGTGCCTCAACTTATGAACATCCCTAGTTGCGAAAATTTCAAGATATGAAAAGGTCCGGCCGCAAAATATTGCTTCAACTTGCAGCCGGAGCTTCGAGTTATGGGGAAAAAATCACGGGGGAGGCAGGGAAAGCATGAAATTTGAACTTTTAGTTGACCATTGGCCAGCAAAGAGGTTGCTTGTCTGCTACATTGCTTGCCCCAGCAGTTAGAGAGTGGATAGGGAGTGAGTCTTCAGACTGCCTGGTACTGCTTGGTATTGCCTGGTACTGTACTGTACGGACTGTATTTTTTGGCTTTTTTTAATTTTTGGATTTTTGACTTTTTAAAAAAAACAGAGAGACTACCTGTTCTGGGTGAGTACATACACTGTACAGTATTTACTGTACTTGTACAGGGTTCTTTGCAGCTTGGGGGGATAGGGCTAGGTGGGAGGGGTTATGTTTCTGTGCCCTGATGGGTCTTGCAGTGTGGATGTAAAAAGTAGACTGTAATATTAAATTAAAATTTAATGTGAAGATTAGAGTGTAATTTAAAAATGTAAAATTTATTTATTTATTTTTGCATTCTGTGGTTCCTAGGGTTTGTGTACTGTGACCTCTCTGTTGTTTTAAAATGTGTGGTTTCAAAGTCTGTTTTTCCTTTGGGAATCTGTTTGCTAGGTTGCTGGTTGTTGATGCAGGCAGGCTGTAAAATGCAGTTTAGGCTCTCTTTTTGTGATGAGGATTTCTGTGCTAGAATACTGCTTGCTGGATTCTGTAGCTTTTAGGGTTTGTGTACTGTGACCTGTCTTTTGTTTTAAAATGTGTTTTTAAAATGTGGCTCCAAGGTCCGTCTCTTTTAAAATAAATTCTCCCCCTAGTGGTAGAGTATGGATTAACCACCTTTGCATTAGTTCCTATGGGAACTAATGCTTCGACATAAGAACGATGCCTCTAGATAAGAATGAAAAACAGCCAGAACGGATTAAATGGTTTTCAATGCATTCCTATAGGAAATGGTGATTCAACTTACGGACATTTTGAGATATGGCCACCATTCCAATACAGTGGTGCCTCGCTTAACGGCGATAATCCATTCCAGGAAAATCGCCATTAAGCTTAAACATCGTAAAGCGAAAATAAAAAGCCCATTGAAACGCATTGAAAACCTTTCAATGCGTTCCAATTGGCTTAAAACTCACTGTCCAGCGAAGATCCTCCATACGGCGGCCATTTTCACTGCCTGTATAGCGAGGAATCCGTCCCTAAACACAGCGGGGAGCCGTTTTATTTACCCAGTGGCCATTTTGAAACTGCCGATCAGCTGTTTAAAAAACATCGTTTTGCGAAGAATCGGTTCCCGAAGCAGGGAACCGATCATCACAAAGCAAAATTCCCCCATTTAGACCATTGTTTGCAATCGCAATTGCGATTGCAAAAAGATTGTCATAAAGCAGATTCGTCGTAATGCGGGACAATCGTAAAGCGAGGCACCACTGTCCAAATTAATTTCATAAGTTGAGTCTCCACTGTACAGGTACCAAGGGAACCCAAATACAAATGGTAATGAAACTATGAAATGCAATTCTGACATTATCAGGCTTCCAGGTTAACTCTTTGGACAGGAAATCTCTATTCAGCTATGTGAAAGCTACTTTACAGTTTTTAGAGTGAGACAAAGGTGACAGTGTTATAAAGCAATAATAATTCCTTTCATATTGAAAAAACATGGTGCAGTACCACTACTACAGCAACACAGTCTCTGCCTGCTTTGATGTGCTGTGGCTATAATATGCAATTACTTCCACCACAGTGCAATAGATAGGGAAATAAAGATAGCAAAGCTCCTATTTAATAAGGACAAGCTAAAAATTCATGTCACAGCAAATCAGACTGTCTCTTAGAGGCCACAATGTAGAATGCCTTCTGGATTCTACACAGCAGCATGGCTCTCCAGAGAATTACAATCCATTAGCTGAATACAAGTGAAGCGTTCTCATTCTGCTTGCTATATTGGCCTGTAAACAAGAAACACTGACTTCAAATTTAAAACCTTCAGAAGAGCTAAGTCAGCACTCTACTGTATTTTCTCTTTCACAACCAGTGGCACACATTTCACAGGGGGAAAGGGTCACATATTGTTACCAGGACTAAATAACAATTTACATAGTGCCACAACGAAATGAGTTTTCAACTCCAAATAGAAAACGTTTATTGCTATCTCTTACATCTTGATCTGACAATAGCTGCAGCTCTAGAAATTTCACTTCTGACTTGGGAGCCTGCCAGACAACTCACTGAGTTGGAACACCTCTCTGTGGAACCAGAAGTTGGGTGTTTGATTCCCCATTGTGCCCCATGGGAGAAGAGCCAGTCTTGGGCAAGCTGCATAATCCCAGCATGCCTTCAGAAGGGAATGGTTAACCACTTCTGAATACTCTATGCCTAAAAATCCCTGGAAAGGGATTTTTTGGAGATAATCTTGGAGATGATCAAGCACCAGCCAACCTCTGTTTTAGATTATATTTCCTTATATTACAAAAACAACCAGCTGAAACCAAACCCTTTAAAAACACGTCTGTGCCTTTCACTTAAAAGAACAGAGAAGCAGCGAGGAAGCTCCGAGTTAGTTGGGAAGGCAGAATTTTAGAACACTGTCCTACCCCAAAATATTTGGGTGTCACTCTGGATTGAATCCTGGAAAAAAAAATCTAAGCACGAAAGAGAAAGTTGCCACCAGAAATAACAATCATCCATTGATGGTTTTGTATTGCAGAGCATAAGGTGAGCCTGTTTCTATGTCTGGTTTATAGCATACTTTGAATTTTGCATGTATAAAACCAAGGCATTTATATTTTAAATTTTCATTATTTTTCCTTTCTGCCTGATTTATGAACCATTTTCATTTAGTAAAGCAGTAAATTGACTTTAATTTTGATATGAAAATAAACATTGCGTATATTTTCCTGCACCGCCCTTGTTCTCCTCAACAACAAGACTCTTTTGCTACCCTATGTGATTTCATCTAAGAAAATAAGAAACAGCGCTCATGGCTATCTGAGGTAAATCAACAAAAAATAATAAGACTTAATGGGTCCACAACCTACCAATATGTTCAACCCCTTACATATTCATCCTTCATTGCCAAGTGGGATATGCTGTGAGCATTAGTGGATGAGATCCATACATGATCTCAGCAAAACAACTGAAAGTGGTTTATAAATTTTGTTTCTTTGGCCAATCTCCTGTAGCAATTTTCGCACTTATATGGGGCTATGACTGATCTAGCTCCAGATTTTTAAAAAAAATTAACAAAAAACCCACCTTCTATATCAGGGGTCATCAAGCCCCGGTCCGCGGCTCAGTGCCAGTCCGTGGGTTAGCTGGAACAGGGCCGCGGACACATATCTCCGCCCCCCCCTGCACGGGGGGCATGTTGTGCTTGCTGGTGGGTGTGTGGCCTTCATGCTAACCCTTTCTCCAGCGCCCCTTGCAGGAGAGCAGCGCCCCTTCCCTGCGGGGAAGCTGCCATGGGGCAGCCAGCCTGGGAAGCGCCCCAATGCATGGCTTTGCTTCTTTGCTTGCTCCCCACTCTCCCTCCCCAGGGAGCAGCCGGCTAACAAGCAGCCGCTCTCCCTCCCCCCGCCTTTACCTGCCTGTGTCCTCCTTCATCTGCAAGAAGCCGGGACGTGGAGCTACTTGTGGGGGGGGGGGCAGCAGGAGTTACTTGTGTTGGACTGCAATTCTGATCAGCACTAGTCAGCACAGCCAATAGTAGAAATGATGGGAGTTCCAGTCCAGGAACATCTGGAGTCACATGACCCTCGTTTCTCAGATATATCACAGAATGCTAAAGCTGAACTATCATACCTCTGCAATTCTTTCTCTATTAGGGCTTCCTACATGATTTATTTATTTATTTTATTTATTTATTTATTTAATTTATACCTCACCTATCTGGCCCACCGGACCACTCTAGGCGGCTCCCAAATATAAAATCAAATAATAAAACATAGACAAATACATAATAATCAAACAAGAACAGCAGTAAAAATAAAAAGGAAAAGTAAGAAAAAAATCAAGAGTTGGCTGGAGGGAAGGCCTGAATAAACAGCCATGTTTTTAATTGGGTTTTAAAGGTGCCCAGCGTGGGGGCCG